AGATATCTCAGGGTGAATTTTCTCATATCTTGTAAAAACCCTCTTTTCGGAATCATTTATAAATTGGTATCGGGACTGTTATTATTAGGAATCGCATTTAAAAACTCAACAGGTGATTTCCCATGCAAATTTGCACCAACTTGGTTCCCGATATTGTTGGGCTTCGCCAACACCACTCACAAAACTGTTATACGAAAATTTTGGGGCGGCTAACGGTTTTCGGAGGTAAACGTCGATGTGATTAGTGTGTAAATAGTTGTTGTTTGGAAACAGTCGTCTTCCAGATGGCTAAAAATGTTTCATTCGGATAGAGAATGAAACAATTAAACTGGTTTAGGATGCCGTTTTACGGGTTGGATGGTAACAGAAAAAGCTTCTATTTTCTGTGTTTAACATATTACACATTTAGGGTATCCTTTGGATCCTGTATGAATGAGTCAGTTTTACATGTGGTGACATCGCCTTCTGAGTCAAGCGATTATTTTCAACTCAAAGTTTTCAGCCTGCACCCAAAGAAGTCTCAACAAGCGCGGATTCGAAAATGACGATGTAGCAAAATGGAACTGTGAACAATCAGCCCAAAGTTGTCTTCATTCCCTGGGTTAATATGATTTCTAACCAGGATTGCCGTGCTAAATAAATGTAATAAAAAGCAGTCAGTCTGAACTATTGGGCGAAAACATTATTTTTGAGAGCACAGTTTGAATATTGATCACGGTATTTAGAGAATTCTCTTGAGCTTCACAGCTCCGCAGCTGCTTACGGACTGCCACCACAAGGAATGCAAAATTGAAGCAGGCTTTCAAAAGTATGCTAGCTAGCTTTACTTTTTTAGCGCAACATAAAATACTGAACAACGACTGCATCCAATTAGTTGTGTGAACAGCAGACGTGCCACTCGATGCGTCATGTGCTTTCCACACATTTTCACAAATTCACAGTCCACTAACCAATGTGTCGAATTTGGTTAAGGCATCAGATTAGATCGCTAATAATAATTATAAGGGTTGTTGTGATAGGATAAAATAAGTGTTATCGAAATGAAACGGCATTGTTGGTTGACAATGGCCAATCATGCAATGTCGGATCCGTGACAGGCTCAGTACGTGATTTCATCTTTCGGGTACACGGATGCAGCATTCGAGATGCCTTCTTTACTGTTCCTTTCCTTGGTTGTCGCACTCCCTAGCCAAATATTCGGTGGGGTCATTCATTTACACCTGCATCTGAACATCCAAGATCGGTTTTACAATACACCCATTTTTCATAATGGAAATTGTCAGGAATTGGTTAATATCTTCCAAACAATCGTACAAAATGACTATTTGATGGCTCATTAAATTTAGAGTTTCCTGAAGGCTTGTCTGCGCTGAATGAATTGTGTGCAATTTAGACGCCTTTAATATTAGACAGAGTTCTGGAGCAATCCTACCACATTCACCTAGTAGGTCTTCGTCTAGAAAAAAACTACGTGGAGAAAAGTGCGTGGGGTGCTGTCGCAAGTGACCATGTTCTTTCAAAACAACGTGTTGGCTACTACAATAGATAGCCAGATTATTTGGCTATCATCAAATACAATAAATACTACACCATTGGAGTAAGCCTATACAGGCTGGTATTTATGAATTACCAATGTTCATTTAGTGCTACCTGGGTATGAAACTGAGGTCTCCGAATACACGTTGACAGATTTTGACGAGTAGTTCCCCGTCAAAGTTCGTTTGAAAAGCCAAAACTAGGTTATCTGCATTTCATGTTGGAATGACCGGAGTAACTATGTCGATTTGAATCGAGGCTCTGAGCGACTACAGCAAACTCAAAAGGCACGTTTTGTGTTTGCACATTGGAGTTTGCTTGTTTGTTTTTACAAGCCTTGGTACAGTCCACATAAAAACTGAGCACACGTTGCGATTGTGACTGCTCTGTGCGATGCCGTTTTTTCTACACCAGTGAGCTCTCTGACGCACATATGCTCCACACGAGGTGTGTAGCATGATGAATCGATTGGAAAATAAAGTGCTTGGGTGCTTGCTTGCTAACGCTAAAAATCGTCCTTATTTTAAGCTCATTGTTTCCAGATGTTCAGAGTAGTTTGAAACGTGCATAGGTTGTCAGGCTATTTTATTAGTGGAATTCTTCCAGATATCAGACCTCAGGCGGAATTGAGAGAAGGTGTTAGCCACAACGTTTTATTTGTAGCATTTGTAGCCCAGAACTTCCCTGTCAGCAGAAATAACAAAATAAACAGGAGTAAAAAGACTACTTGAAAGCAGATGTGATTCAATAAGAAAAACTAAATGAATTCTTGCGGGTATCGTGAAGGTTCCGAACGTTGACTGTGTGTTTCTTTTATGCAAGAAAATTTCTAGTTAATCACACTACTAATGTGCCACTAGTTCAAACCGGTCTAAAGTTAATTTTGGATTGCGATCGGTAAGCTTTGCGAATGAAAACGAAGGTGCATGTCCTTTCGCTGCAAAATATAAGTTACACACTCATGGGAGTTGTCAGAGGGGAAGATTTCACGAGGTGAATTTCTAATTTTCAAAAGCACAGTTTAGCCACATAGCAACTGCTGTCTACGTACAAATGGGTGAAAATAAAGTGCCAGAACAATGGAATTCTCGACTTGGTTGCTACGGCTGCGTTCTCATCTACGTAAATCATATCCACTGATGACTTAGTAACAGGCAGTGAGGTGATAGACCATAAGTAGAATACGCCAGTGATATATTCAGAAGCTTTGACGGATAACAAGAGTCAGAGTCGAAAATGTACCTAACAATGAACCTGTTTGTACCTGTGTCCGAGGGAGCTTCAGTAGGCTACGAGGACTCAACAATGACGTCAGTAGAACTGTTGCTTAGGCGTGACGATTTGAAGATGGAGAAAGTTAGGCTACCTGAATCCAACGTTGTAAACCGATGAAGCTAGAAGGCTATAACCAGTTTCCTTATTGGTTTTTATTCAAAAGTCTAGATCTGACGTAGCTGTAAAGCTGCTGGTCATGTAACTACTAAACTCTCAGAGGATTTTGCTCCTAAACTATTCGGTCAACTGAAAAGGAGCCACCCACTTAAATTCGATATGATGGTGATAGGCAAATATGCTCTAAGTCCGACAATGGTCACAGGTAGGTAGGAGATATCGGAACTGGAATGTCAATGATAATCAGCATCACTCGCTTAACTCCGTAGCCGAGTGGTCTGTAATGCTCATACACGCTCCCCCTGTCGGCTGAAAGTCCAGTTGAATGAAACTGGTGGCCGAATGACCAGAGCTTTCGTAGTGTCGGGCTTGTTTATCTAAAGCCTTTGAGTTGTGGAACCAGGCGATTTTGCGGCATATTTATTTCATGTATAGGACATTTTGGTGAAATTTCGTTAGTTGTCTGCTACAGATGTCTCCGAAACTTTGTGTTTTTCTTTATCCCTATTATTCTTCGTGAGCGAGTAAATTTGGTTTTGTCTGGAGCCTAAATATTCCTGTATTGGAACTATGATAATTGCTGAGCAAATTTTTGTCCAAGAGTCGTTCGGCGGAAACAAAGATAGCTATATGAACCTTGCCCAGAATCGCAGCATCACGTTTTTCAGTCACATAGACCAGTGTACCGGTAATAAGAGATGTAGGATGGAGCAACCTTTCCGTGACCTACTGATAACTTCACTCATTCAGGTGAAGTTTCAATGATGTTACCTCGACTGGCAGTGATATGTTTGCAACCAAACAGCCTAATTCTTGAAACACACGCGGAAGTTCGTTCTGGTAGCTTTGATTAACATATGCGTCGGCCAGTGTACAGATGGCTAATTCAAACATCTGCATTTTATGCTCCACTAAAAGCCACGAAGAAAGCCGGCGTCGAAAAAGTGAGGGGTGAATATTGGTGCATGTATTCGGGAATCAGACACGATCGACTATTGATTCCTACATGTTGTTGGCTTGATTCTCCTAACGACTCATTGATTGGAACACTACATGGAAAAGTAAACTAATCGTCCTAGACGTTTGTACTCAATCAAAAGACAACTCTTTAATGAATGTTCGTCAATGTCAGTGTCTTCCGAATACGTCTGTTCGTTGTACAACAGCAGTGTTCACATTCTGACATGGATTCAGTGGATTGTGGTCATTCTGCAGGTCACCAGTAGGATCCAAGTCGGCGTCCTCTACGTTATTTTAGGCGTAAATTTATACCCCATCGTGACCGTGTGCAACCTCCTAATTTTGGAAACTTATATGAATCACATCTCACACACCACTAGTTCTTCAATAAAAATTTGCCAAAGAAAATAAAATAACGGGACGAATGGTTTCCAGTTGAGAGCCACGACTTACCCAAGCATTTGAAAATGCCGACAACAATATAGGTTTCCGAATCTATACATCTCGTACTCTTGAAGAGGGAATATCACAACCACATCGCCCGTTTTACTTGGTCTGGATTCACGGTCAACATCAGTATCATTACCCATACGTCAGCCTTAGATCTTAGATCTTCCAGAAGATCAGTCTTAATAACAAAGCGATATGTATATTAATGTTTTCGGGATCCCGTTATCAGGTTAATACATAACTAATGATTAAAATATTAGCGAAAAATGAAATATTTCATTTTTTGCCCCTATTTTAACCATTAGATATATACTAACATAATGACGAGATCTCGAAAATATTAGTGTTATTCACTGCGTTCTTTTTTAAATCTTGGGGATAGTTAAACAGGTGAGATTTCAAAATAACAGTGGATCGACCTACTATACTTGATTGTTAATTACGGTGTCAACATAATCTGATTGTCAAATAGAAGTAAAATATGAAATTTCGACGCAAAAGTAGATGCTTTCGAATGACCTTGACGACAGAATTTGATGACCACCGAGCAGTCCGCAAGTTAATTCACCTGTCGTAAGAGCAATGTGACTGAGGAAATTTTGCTTTGTCGGATCCCAATGAAATCCACCTACAGAACTGCCCATCTATTAGATATTCATGAGAACATTCCACTTCCTTATCCTACACAGAAACAATCACTCTTGATGAGCTAAGGGATTATATGGAGAAGAACAACATGGACCCAGCGTTTATTGAAGTAAGCTTAAAACATTTTCTGATAGTGTTTTGCGTGGTTTTGAACGAGCACCTAGAATATACAACTGTTTAAAGATTTTGTAGATTATTTGTTGTCTTGTGACACCCAGATCAGTAGTCTACTATAAAAACAACCGCCATCAACTTCTTCACCGTTATTCACTGTAAAAATCATGTACCTGATGTAAAGTGGTCATAGCTATCACAGCTTCGTGATGATCTATCTTCTCTTTTCCTTATAGCGCTGGCAGGAAATATTCGACCCAGAACATACCGGTTCCATCACCTTGAATACGTTTTGCGAAGTATTGGGACTGGAATTAAATAACATGTAGGTGAACCGATAGGACTGTATGTAATATTGCAGTTCCCCCAATGTTTTGATGTATTGTTCGTCCGCTTCTCGCAATCTTCGCGTGAATGTCTAACAGAGGGCACAATTCAGACTCATACGAAACTGGAATGTAAGTATGAATTACAAATAAGGAAAAGCAGTTGGGTAGCGCATTCCTTACTCCACGTGATGAGTGATGACTTTGTTGCGTATTTTATCAAATTGTTCTACCCCGTAGAACGGTCTATCAGTAATTTACCAATCTTAATTTGCCCCATGATTGATGATAGCTTTTTCTACCAGTACTCAACCACAATATATTTTCGTGGCTGGCTATGATATTTTCTTCCAAAATGAAGTTACCACACAAGGAGACGTATATTACCTTCCGTTGTTGAGCAGTGTTTCTCCAAAGCGTTCGTTTTGATGGTTTTTTTGGTGTACTCTTGATTGGCAAACTGCAACAAATCGAATCATTAAGGTATTTCTCCGTGATAAGGATTTTAGTGATCTCCGTTTAAGATGTACTTGCCTGACGCAGCTCATATGGAGTTCATAGAACTCCAAATTGAAGATTCGTCTTTCCGAGCTATGCGATAAGCAGAAAATTTTAGGTCACCTGCTTCGACATAACTTGTTTTGGGGAGATCAGCAAACTCATCACTCAAAAATAAGCCAAAATGGTGAGAATAATCTACTTGTTTTCAAATGGTATGGAGTGGCACTTCCTTGAGAAGCGTGGTTTGGGAGTTGATACTCTCGGATCAGAGTCTAAGGTGAAAGCCCACGCAACAATGCAATTTTATGTTAACGTACACACAAAAATACACGCCATTTGTGGAATTTAAAGGGTTGGTAAAATGATTACGAACTCTAATTACCTAATGAGCATGGAGGACTGAATATAATAGATACGGCATCCGTTCTTTAGAAGTTATCCATTATAACTACCAGCTCGATTATTTCCGATTTTCGTCACTTTCGATTACTTTCATTTTGATTAGGTAAAACAACGTGAATTAAGTAAAAGCAGATTCAAGGAGGTAAGTCAGGGACCAATGCAAATAGGTGCGGTAAACTTCTGGAATATTACTGACAAAAATACCGAACTTAGGTGTGCCTGTCTTTGTAGCTTCCCGGTCAGGATCACAGAAACACTAATTAACAATCATATTTGATGAAAATGAAATTTCAAAGTTTTTGGTAGGAATAGGACTTGAATTGAATCCTTTGGGAGGTCGAATTATGTTAGGGTGGAATCTGCCAGTACGCATACCCCTATTTAGATAGATTCAAAGCGCTAAAGGTTTGAACATCTATCATACACTGTTTTATGAGCTGTATCATGTGAATATAGTTTTCTCATCAAGTAGGTCACCATTTATTTTTGATCCTTTACAGACGTGGACAATTTGATGCGGCGGAGTCAGTGAAACACTCTGCGTCCAAACAGAATGACAATGACGAAGAACTAGAGCGGTCTCCACCACCACAAAATGGTAAACTGAGGCAGGATGACAAAGATGTGGAGCAAGCACGCCGCAAGTCATCGGAAAATGCTGACGAACTCAACACGTGGTTAGAGCAGAAAGAGCCAAGTTCGGTAGCTTTTGTAAATGGGGATACGTCAAAACAGATTTCTGGTGAATCATTTGACAAGATACAAGTGGATGAAACCGCTCCGTTTTCGGCATTGCGTAACGGATCAGATGACACACAGAAAAAATTCACTGAGAATGGTTCGGGGTGTGGAAACGGATACGAAGAGATATCGGTGGATATCGCGGAGGACCTGAAAACTGCCATTGTCCGTTATGCGATAGAAGGGTTAGGCCAGCACCAAGAAGACCGCGTATGTACATCACAGATCTGTCTTTCGTGGTATCCTTACTTCAGCGCGAAGGGGGATAGTATAGCTCACTTGCTTTTGTTAGTGGTGTCATGAGTGTCATTATCACTTTCTTTTCGTCAAAACAAATCTCTGAATATTAGAGGTGCGGAAGCTGTATATGAGTCTTTCCCTCTTAGATAAACCGATAGGGCTGCAGACTGCTGTAAAATGTTCAGCTCGGTCAGCGGCACTATCCCAAAAATCATGCACCATGAGGTATTTGGTTTCGTTGTCACTGCGATAGTAAACTAAAACAGGCGACTCAGATGACCATTTAAACCACTCTCTGAAGCGCCGCACCGAATGTTCAGAACGTTTTCTTACATTAGTTACCGGTTTAACATCAGCTGCGTATGTAGATTTGCTAGTATGCTTTTGTCCATCATCTGTGGTGTTGAGACATCTTGTAGTTTTCCCGTGTCTCTGAGGAAAAAGCATCATTATTTTCCGGAACTCGCTAACACAAGCTTAAACTGCAAAGTTTTCTGGTGCTGCTGGCGACCTTGAATTATAAGGCCAACTACTTAATTTTTCGTACATTGTCTGGAGATAGGTGATCATCTGTTGAGCAAGCAGATACGTTTTCTAGCAGACAGTCATTGTTATACTGCTGGTTGTGAAAATACCAGTGTCTGTGAGATCAATTTGTCCATGCTTAGGCTGGCCAAGGTGGGAACTATGGTGGCGTGAATTACGTATTTTGTCTGATTGGATACTACTGTCAGAGGTCTATTTTCATCACCACAGCAAGTGGTTACAGGGCCAAAATTACAGACTACGGGCACGTCGCCCGTCATCAGATGGTTGTTCTGACTCCCAAGCGGCTATGTGATACAGCGACGTCAGAGTTTTACTGCCTCGGAAAGAGTCTGGTAAATTGGTAAATTGTTTTGGTAAATTAGTAAATTGTTTTTTCACTTCAGCTTAAAATTAATGGCTGCCCTTGCACCCTCTGCCCATTAACTCAAAAAAATTCTGACAACAAAATGGCTTGATTACCCAAGAATAGACGCAGCGGAGTCTCTTGAAAGTCACAGAGGGAGTTTTGGAGCAGCTCTTCTAGAGGAAACTAGGTGGTACGTAACCCGGAAGTTGGAGTCTCCCGACTCAATGCATCCCCGAAAACCTGTTCAAAGCGGTTGCTGGTGGCCACATATTAACACTTTAACAGCAGCTTATGTAATCTTGAAAAGAAGCCGAGGTTGAATAGATGTGCTGAAATGAGGTGAGAACGCAAAACGCGTGAGCGAAAAGGAAACACTAATGGATTGTGAGCTTTTAGAGTTTGTAATAGGTTCCGCATCTAAAACGGTAGATTTCATGTTGTCGTGTGCGTTTACACGCGTCAAAGAAGCGGATGTCACTCATGACTCGCATTAGTGTGCAGCTGATGGTATACATTTTAGTAGTGCGATGGATTTGTGATGGTGGAGTATCACCCGGCTGACCAAACCGAAGCTGGACAATTTCTTTGGAATTTCAGTTGGAGTCATGCTTTGATGAAAGTGTAAGCAAACTGACCAAAGCAGACACTTTACAGTTCACTGAGGTTTGAGAACAGGGGTCAATTTATACGCGTTTCGATTGCGAAGTAGATTTCGAGGACGTACACACAAAAGCCACGTACGCCAAAGAATGTCTTGACCGCTTGCTTCAATGAGTATTTTTATTTAAACACACAAAGTTTTGTATTTCAGTAGGTAGTCGGGGAGAAAAGTGTCTAAAGTTACAGAACACTCGCTTGATAGTCCTGATTCAATGATTCTGGAGAGTGACCCCAAAGTTCGAAACATTTGACATGTGAATCTATCTTATCAGAACTCACCTATGTTTGCGCTTAGATTATATCTCTGATAACAGGATATGCAAATCGAACGTGTTACCACCATTTCATCATTATATACTGTGGAACACTTGAATTATCGTGCCTTAAGGGGATTAAGTTTTGTCGCATTTTTGCACGGAACGCACTCACCAAGTGCTTTGGTTGTTCAATCCAATGACTAGCGCGTAGGATCTTCTCCCCAGGCAACGTCACAATTGTTTCACACTTCTCGGCAACTTTTGATGGATTGTAGTTGGTGAACATTTCGGTCGGTTCAACTGACCAAAAACATTCAAATGGTGGCTATGCTCCTGTCGTCAAACAGCGTGAGCTCTTAGAAATAAGAATGATGCGGGCCGATGCTGCTGAACAATTTAGAACATCTACCAATTGCATGATAAATCTAATGCAGAGAAGTTTTGCCCAGCCTCACACCTTTTACTGCTGCAGACCAAGTGGGCGAACAATTTAATCTACCAATTGCATGATAAATCTAATGCAGAGAAGTTTTGCCCAGCCTCACATCTCTTACTGCTGCAGACCAAGTGGGCGGGCCGACTGAACAATTTAGAACATCTACCAATTGCATGATAAATCTAATGCAGAGAAGTTTTGCCCAGCCTCACACCTTTTACTGCACTGCACCAAGTGGGCAGTATATATATATATAGATATATATATATATATATATATATTCTTAGTGGAACTGTAAAAGTTTATTAAACAATTCCACATTGGTATGGTTTTTCTAAATGACAGTTATGAGATGACGCTTTGCTTCCACTGCCTAAAGTACCTCAATTAAGAAGAAACAAGTGTTCCCTCTTTGCAATCACCCTCCAAACGACCGCTTCTATGTATTAAGCGAATAGCTCTCCGGTCGGGCGATTTGTCGAATATTTATTCATGGACATCTTGTCAAGGCGTTGTTTTGCTGAAGATTGCATATCAATAAATTTACGGAAGCGCTGTCTCCAGAGGTTACCCAACTCTACCGCATATTCACGGGCTTTTCAAGGGACTTGTGGCATTTTAACATAAAGTGCATTACGAATGTCTTTCGACTTCGAAAACTGACAACATACACATGACATACGTCTCCACTTTAGGGAATATTCTGAACTCATTCACTAGCAATATTCTAACGAGTTGTCTGATGCACTTTCCAATCCACAATGTAGATTCAACTGCCTTAAAGCGGAAATATTCTAACCAACCTTACTTTACATGGTATGTCGGGTTACTTAGTCCAAATTTTCACCATTTTTGTGGTGAAGTTGGCTCTTCTTTACACACTCTTTCACTGGACCCTTCATGCAATGGTCACAGTGAACAGCTGCATACTCTTATCATGCACGCTAGGGTGGTCATTGTTATGAGTGTTGAGTTGGCATTGACACAGACAAG